TCTCTCTCTCTCTCTCTCTCTCTCTCTCTCTCTCTCTCTCTCTCTCTCTCTCTCTCTCTCTCTAGCTTGATGTTCTGTGGCGTTTTGCAGCCAGCACTTCATTTTTGGAATGAGACTCATCCTCATCCGATGAACTACCAGCTAGTACAACAGCAGAGGGAGCTGTTGGAAGCGTCTGGCGGTGTCCGGTAGGCCCTGAAACGGCCAAAACATACTTGGGGCATTTTTTGGGGGCAGCCTAGGACCCGAAAAACGTCCTAGGCCCCCCCCCAAAAAATTCAAACTTTTTAAAATTGGGTCCAATCCAGACCTACCATACCCAGACAACCGGGAGTGGGTCATGTTGGCCTAAGGACAGCCGCAACGACAACCATATAGCAGATGAAGCGGCTGTAGACGAGCTTCTGTGGTTGCAGGGACTGGGCCATGTTGGTCTGTTCGTCTACATGCACAGGGGTACAACAAATGGAAGCCTGAGTCAGAGCGCGGTCCCCCTTGGAACAGGGGCCACAGAAATGGGCACAACGGCAACCATAAACCAGATGCAGGGAATGTAGACGAACTCCTTTGGTCGCAGAGGCCAGGTAATGGTAGTCAGTTCATCTAGCTTCACAAGGGTACAAGAGCTGAGAGCCTAAGGCAGAGGCTGGTCCCGCTTGGTACAGGGACCAGAGGGATGGACGCAACGAGAACCATACAACAGGTGCAGGGTCTATAGACGACCTCCTGCGGTTGCAAGGCCCGGGTCATGTCAGTCAATTTTTCTCTGAACAGAAGGGACACTGGGCCCAGTTCCTAGCACTTGCTGCTTCCCATGAATACGACAGCAGCTGACAACACTAGCCTCCCCCCCAATCATTGAATGCAGATTCCAGTTTCGCAGTTAAAAATGAAAAGCAACGGAAGTACATTGATGTCATTTTCGAGTTTGAATGTGCAAGAAAACACATGCGCCCCTACAGAAAACAGCTGCCAAGTTTGAAAAAGCAATGAAAGTACCGCAGACGTGACGGAGGCATGGGTGTCATAACTACAGGGGTCAGCCGTGGTGTCAGATGTGGAAAGGAGGAGGGGGGGGGAGAGGCGCAACGGATCCTTTTCTACCGAATTGCCGTTTCAAACTCGCGCCGTGATATCTTGGTGTGTGCATGTGTTTTTTGCCTTTCCGAACTCAAAAGTGCCGCACCACTGGGATAGAGGGCTTGCACGAGGGCTTAAAAAAAGAAAAAAAAAGAAAAAAAAAGAAAAAAAAAGAAAAAAAAAGAAAAAAAAAAAAAGGTGCCGCATCTGCAGTTGTCTCAAAGTAGACGAATAAGATACCTGTGCTAGCGGTGCCTGCTCTTACCAGCACCCCTAGCATCAGCTCGGGCTGTTTAAAAATAATAATAATAAAAATAAAAATAAATAAAAATTACAATCATGTAGCTGTCTCTTATACACATCTAGATGTGTATAAGAGACAGCCTTAGTATTTTAGGACCTGTGATAGTCAGTGTCTTCAAGTGACTTTCAGACCCCTGATGAGTCCTGGTTGGCGGCCAGGCAAAACCGGTCGGGTCGTAACGCCTGTCGGTGTTTTCCGACATTGTTCTTCATGATTAATCCTTCGAATTTCGTCGCGTTCGGGACATCTGTCTATGGTGTTGGGTCTTCTTGTCTTCTTGTCTTCTTCTTCTTCCTCTTCTTCCTTTCTTCTGTCCCTTTGTCTGTGGTTGTGGCTTCTTCTGTGCACGCTGTTCGGTTCTATGTTATGCCATCTCGGTTGTATGCACTGCTCGACAACTTTTTTTTCACGGAGTAACCAAGGTAGCAAAATGAGATTGGATTTTCTGCCAGAGAACTGTCTCTTATACACATCTAGATGTGTATAAGAGACGACATCTGTCTATGGTGTTGGGTCTTCTTGTCTTCTTGTCTTCTTCTTCTTCCTCTTCTTCCTTTCTTCTGTCCCTTTGTCTGTGGTTGTGGCTTCTTCTGTGCACGCTGTTCGGTTCTATGTTATGCCATCTCGGTTGTATGCACTGCTCGACAACTTTTTTTTCACGGAGTAACCAAGGTAGAAGTGATACTACCATTGAGTGGCTTCGACCTGTACTATGATGGCGTCCAATGGCAACGCGAACGGGCCAGCGGTTTGGAACTGCTACAATTGTGGTCAACCTGGGCACATCTCTAGGTTCTGTCCATTACCAGATCGTAGGCTGAATTTGGCTCAGCCGTCTAATGCTATTGTACCTGCGCAGCCATTGATGACTGTTCCGGCGGCAGCAAATGTGGGAACGGCTGTTCCTTATTATGGAGGACAGTATAGTGGAGGTGGTGGTGGGAGTGGGTTAGGTAGACGTGTGAGTACTCTGGAGGAGATCGTTGGAAAGATCAGCAACAAGCAAGAGGCTGAAGAAGCGAAGGCGCGACAACAACGGAAAGAAGAGGAGAAGACCAAGCGTGAGAAGGAAGATGAGGAACGTAGATTAAAAGATAAGAGGGAAAGGGAGGAATTACAGAGGGAGATGTCCGCAAAAATGGACAGATTGAGTGAGGCAGTCAACGGGAAGAAGTCAAGTGATTCCGATGAGATCGCTAAGTTGAAGTCGTTGGTAGAGGCGTTGACAAGGCAGTGCAATTTGGGACGGGAGAAAGAAACTAAAGTTGGGGAGAGTGAGGAAGTGGTAAAGTTACGAGCGCAGGTTGAGCAGTTGAAACGAGACGCTAGCGGGGCCAACACGTCATCCGCAATGCCGAAACATGTGAAGGAGAGTGAAGAGTTGGTGAGGCTTCGATGTGAGCAATCCGAGGTCAAGGCTGCTACTGAAAAAAGGCTGGCAACTTTGGAGGAGGTAATATTTGCGCTGCAAAAGCAATGTGAAACTGCTGAAGCAAATGCTGAAGCATGGAGGAATGAAGCGCTGCGTCCTGGAAACAAGCGCGACAGTATTGCAATCGGTCAAACGCCAGTCAGCGATGCTAGGGTACGCATGAGGGCGACTACGCTGGAGAAACCTGGTGGTGATGTGAGAATGAATACCCAACTTAAAGGATTGGTTGAAAGGCACCAACGGGAAGTCGAATTGTTGAAGGAGATGCGCTTACGTGAAGTCAACGCTAGGAAGGAGTCGGAAGAAGAAGTTGAATGGCTGAAGGAGCAAATGGCAAGGATGGAGGACGGGGGAAGGGTTAGGGGAACCAATCTTAAGACCAAGATGGATGAGGTAGCGGGTACTTCGGTAGGCAAGGACAAAGGTAAGAAGTCTGTTACCCCGACTACGAAGGCTAATCAGCGGGATGTGTTTTTGTGAGAAGCTTGGAAGCAGCTTCGTAATCTGCGGAAGGAGGAGATCATGGTAATTTGTGAGAAAGAAGGTTTTGAGTATACAAAGTTGGATCCAACTAAGGAAGTGATAGCACAGGGTCGTGTCGACAGAGCGGTGGGGGAAGACGATGGTGGTAACAAGGAAAAAGGTAAGGTGGATGTCGTTGATCTTACCGATGACGGGGAGGGTAACTCAGAGCGGGGCGATGGGGGAGACGCCGCATCTTCTTAGGGTCACCCCCGAACGCGACGTTTCTGTGGCAAGTCGTAAGGTTTTGCTGTAAGCTTCGTTCGCTGTCTGTGGAATGGTTGCGGGATAAGAAATTGAATCTTCTCTTAACTTTGGCGATTTGTGGTCTTTCTCTTCTTCAAGTCATTCCCTAGTATGTTAAGTTATGTGATTTCCTTCCTCATGGGTTCTCGTCCTATGGTGTTGACGGTGCTTCGGATGATTGGGTTGGTCCGGTTGTTTACGCTCTGGTGTCTCTGTGGTCAAGGCATATTTACGCTGGTAGTACTCAGAGAGACTTACATACGCGATGGAGGGAGCACGTGTACAGAGCCTGTCGGTTGAGTGTGGTGGAGGGCGGAAGGAGGAATGAGAAATTGTATCAATGGTTACGTCGTTGTGGTGCGCATAATTATACGATCGTCCCTCTTTGTCGTTGCTCAGCTGATGATCTGTTAGATACGGAAAAATTCTTTATTAGGTTGCTAACGCCTTCACTGAATGTTCGGGATAAGCCTCGAAAGCATCGGCGTTGTAGGGCTGAATTGAGGGAAAGGCGACGAAGGAAGCGTGCTATTGTGCAGGATATCAGTTGCGGTGGTTCTTCAATTGTTCGGTCTGGTTCTTTGTGCTGTTTTGTTTCTACCGATGGTACCAGCTCGGTTAGTTTACGGAAAATCTTGAATGATTGTAAGGATAAAGGGATTCATCGAACGGTGGTCAGCTGCGTGGGGGGTAATCGGCTTGTTGACCGATGGAAGGTGCTTAAAAGGCTGTATGGAGGAAGTCTGGTTGAGTGTCAATTCGGTAAACAGGAACTTAGGTATTCATGTAATTGGTTGAAAGGAGGGGTGGTGTTGACGATTGACCCAATTGTTCCTTTTCTCAGTCGTTCCCTAGCTTTGAAAGGGGCGTTGAGTTTGTTTCTAAGTAATCCGTCTAAGCGTGTCGAGTTGAAGTTTTGGAACTTTGACCTGCTGATCGCCGCCTACACTGCTGCTCGAGCTTTCAGTGAAAAAAGGACAAGGAGTAGATTGAGATGGTTACTGTCGCAACACATTTTTTCTCAATTTGGCGTTCATGTTAGGAAGCAACTCGTTGTTTGTTTGGTGTATGATGATTGAATTTGTAAATCTGAGGTGCGGAGGTTGTGTGTTAAGTTGGTTGGTGGGATTGATATTAACCACAGTTGGAAGGGTATGTTGGTACCTTGAATGAGAGTGGTTTGGTGCCGAAACAAGAGTGTTGGAGATTTGCTTCACAACTTTCGTAAGTTTTCAAAATCATCTGCGGCTGAGTGTGTATGTGAGACGGCATGTAGTGATTTCCCACGTGTTGAAGGGCATGTGTCGTTTCGTATTAATGACATACCGTCGTTATTCCCTCACTGGCTACAAAATTCCAAGAATTTGGTTCGTCACTCCAGTATATGTTTGTTGTCTAGTTTACGGAAGCAGGTTTTGGCTGCTTTTGATTCACATCCGTCTTTACCTGTTCCGAGCAAGGATTCGGTTACCCCGGATGTGCTGCGGGGATGTTTGACTGGTGGATGGACAGATAAGCGGGAGACATGCAGTATTAGCGAGGATATGATTAATGAATTTCTCTCGATGTTTCATGGGTTGGTGCGTTGTCCGATTGATCACAATTTGGGTGATACCTAAGTTTTCTGCCCGATTCTGTTTCATCGTGGGATGGAATCCTTGTTTTTTGGTAACCCTGCCTTTCTATTGTGTAATGTGGAAGAGGAGGTTGTTCGTAGGATGTGTGAGAAAAAGTATATTGATGATGGTTTACAGGAGGTTGGGTTATGGAAGAAGACCGGCAATTTCGGGGAGGCCTATTGTATATCAAAGCATAAGGACGTCTTCAGAAGGAGACCAATTTGTCCTTCCTACCCCGAGTGTAGTGCGGCGAGGGGAAGAGTTGTCTCTCGGGCGGTTAATGCATTATTGTGAAATCTACCTGGTGATTCTAATTTGAACCTACGAAATGGAAATGGACTGCTGGAAGCCATCAACATAGTTAACCAAGGATTGACGGACAAGGATGTCATGTTGGTTGCCTCCTTCGATGTGAAGGAGATGTTCTCTAACCTTCCACATGATTCTATCCTTCGAGCTCTCTCGTGGGTGGTGGATTTTTGGTATGAGAAGGGTGTGTCTTCAATTGGGATTCGGAAGCATGACAAGGGTGCTAAGCTGTTGAAGGGGCGTGAAGACATTGGATGGAGGAGTATTAGTGTACATCTGGTCGTTAAATTTGTTAAGTTCGAACTTTGTAATACTATGTACGTGCGGACGGAAGACTTCTTCGTCAGAAGATTGGTATCCCGATGGGTAAGTCGTCGAGTCCAGCTTTGGCTTGTTTGCTTTGTGCTTATGATGAATTTTTGTTTCTTTCTAGCCTGGGGGCTGATCGGGTGCTTTTCCGTGGTTTTAGGTTGGTGGATGACGTTTCTGTTTTTGTTGTATGTAAAAAGGATGACAGGTGTTCGTTGGCGAAAGGGCTACGACTGATCGATTCGTTCAAAAGTTGTTATGATGATAACTTAATCCTGGAACAAACCAATGAGGGAACTTGTTGGGACTACCTTGGTTGTGTTCTCAAGGTTGTTGAAGGGAGGAAGGGTGTACTTTGTTTCCCATTGATGAAGAACCAGAGAGAAGGGGTAGATAATAGGCTGCAGTTTCAATGTATCCAAGACTATGTAATCTTACACGAGCCGTCAACAGAAGTTAGCGGTAATCAATTCTTTTTTCCATCGGACTAGAACTTTTTCTTCTATTGAAGGAATGGTGTTTCCGTTTCTCTTCTCCCTAAAGTGCGAATTGTGGAAAAGAGGCTACCCTGATGATTTTTTCGATTCGGCGGTTTTACAGTTCTCTCGGAGGTTCGGTGGACTCTGGGGTGATTGGTTGTCGTTTTTGACTAAGTGGGGGAGGTTGCTCAATGAAGTGAGGTACTTTGAGGACCCTCGAAGTTAGGGGGTTCGAGTTGGAATTGCAGGGGGTATAAGATGGGTACTGCAGGGTTGTTCGGTATGGTGTGGGTATTTGGGTTAGGACTGTGTTGGTACTGCAGGCCTCGCTGGGCTAAGAAGTTTCAGAATGATGTTAAAGGGGGTATGATGTGAGGTTTTTGACGTTAAAGGGTATTTGTGCTAGGTGGGTGTCTGTGGCACATGCCTTGATGTGTTGAGAGGACGTTGCAGGGGGTATGATGCGAGGTATTTTGACGTTAAAGGGTATCGTGCTAGGTGGGTGTCTATGGCACAGGCTTTGATGTGCCGAGAAGTTTCAGAATAATGCTTTTCGATGGTTCAGGTCTGTACGTGAAATGTTGGCCTCAAAATGTTGTTTCGTGGATGACAGACTGTGTTGAACCTTTTGGTTTCGAACGCGCGATTGAGAATAGGGTGTAGAGGATACGTATCTCTTCGTTGACATTGTAGTGTCGGCCGGTTGAAACGTGAAGCGAGATTTTGCSGGGAGTCCCCTTAGTATTTTAGGACCTRTGATAGTCAGTGTCTTCAAGTGACTTTCAGAYCCCTRATGAGTCCTGGTTGGCGGCCAGGCRAAACCGGTCGGGTCGTAACGCCTGTCGGTGTTTTCCGACATTGTTCTTCATGATTAATCCTTCGAATTTCGTCGCGTTCGGGACATCTGTCTATGGTGTTGGGTCTTCTTGTCTTCTTGTCTTCTTCTTCTTCCTCTTCTTCCTTTCTTCTGTCCCTTTGTCTGTGGTTGTGGCTTCTTCTGTGCACGCTGTTCGGTTCTATGTTATGCCATCTCGGTTGTATGCACTGCTCGACAATAACTCGCGCCAATAGTCACCAAATGTGCAAAATGAGATTGGATTTTCTGCCAGAGAATGGGAAGATGCACCGACATATTTTTTTTGTCTTTTATCATTTTATGTATCTGGTGAGTAGTGGAGGGAGGCCCAATATCCTGGTCTGTGTTTTTTTTTTTCCAGATGTATGTTCTTTTTCTGTTTCCTTTCCTGGTCGGTCTTTGCACCTGCCCGAAAGTCAGCCCTCCTCCAGTATGTCAGGGTGATATCCTTATCCCGTCCCTTTTCTGAATTAGAAAAGCTCAATGCTGTCTATCTGCCCCTCTTTTTCACCTTTTAAACTTTAAAGCGCAATGGCCTTGAGGGTATCATCTTTGAACTGACTGGACCCATGTAAATTCAGTCTCTCTCTCACACTTTTTTTTTTTTTTTTTTTTTAAAGACTCTGCAAATTCTACTAGGTAGAGTGATATAAGCATCTCTCCATCTATTGGTGGGAAGCTGCGCCTGTTGGAAAACGGGTCCAGCGTCCCTCATAAACGACTGAGTCTTGAACATAGAACAATAATACGCAAAGGCAGATGAATCAGCACCTTTTCACCCAATTTCGAGCACCAGATCTTGCAATACTACCTAGTTCTGATTCACCGTGAAGACCATAAGACTCTGACTCTTTTTTTTTTTTTTTTTTTTTTTTTCCCTTAACATGCCCCCGCCAGTGTTAGTGGTGCTGGTAATTCTTGCAGACTTGCAACATTCAACCTTTTACGGCCTTTCAGTCATATCCGAACCAGGATCTGAGGACCAGAGAAACGTGTGATTTCTGAGCCTATTGGAATGACTCAAGAATTTCATTATTTTGGATTTTTGGCTCTTTGGGTCCCTGCAGATGGATAGAAGTTCGTACAACTAATACTAATAACCCCGGGTGAGAAGAGAGCATGAAATTTATGAAGAAAATTTGTTGGAGGGGGACGTTGAATATTTGGAATCGTTGATTACAGCGAGTAGGATCCTCAGAGGCTATATGCCAGGAACCATTCTCTCTCCC